GGAGAGTCCAAAGAGAAGACAGCCAGTGAAGCAGGAGAAAGAGTAAGAGAGTCTGCTGCCGTGAAAGCCAAGTGAAGCCAGTGCGTCAAGGCGGGGCAGTGGTCCGCTTTCCTCCAGCTCCGCTCCCTTGCACAGCTACAGGTACGGGTGGAGAGAGAGAGAATTAACCCGGACCGTGGTCTTGCCGGTCAGGTAGGCTGAAATGGGAGGTAATGGAAGGAAAAAACCCCAAGGGAATGGTTATGATTAACCATGGAATTTAGGCTGAGAGGGTGAAAGACAGCGAAGGGTGGCGGGACAGATGAACTGGAAGTCACACTGGGGCCGGAGAGGGGCTGGGGTCAGGGTGCTAGAGCAGGCGAGGTGGAAAGATAGAATGTGGGTGGTATGACACTGAGCTCGAGGAGGGGCTGCAGTCCTTGGTGCCTGCCCGCAGGGTGAGGCGGGGCAGAGGACAAGATCGCGGGGAAAGGGTCACTCACGGACTTACAAAGCAAGAAAGCCGGCAGGATCACAACCCGTTTGTATAAAAATTGCTAAAAATTAAGACATGCAGTGTTAGAGAACTACAGAGTGGCCAGGAGCTACACTAATGGAGAAATACGGAGGAGTAAGTTGGGGTGTTGGTAGGTGATAGCACAAAGAGAGAGGGTGGGTGATATAACTTCATGTCATGAGACTCGAAATTACGTGCTTTTAGGAAAAAGGTGGAATGATCTGGAAGTAGCAGTAAAGAATGAGAGGACATCTATTATATCAACAGAGCCACTGAAGTGAGGTTTACAGAGAGGGCAGGGGGACCCCCACGTGATGGGGGAAGAGGGAAGACACAGCTGAGGGAAAAAGCCAGGTCTCTGTTAGAGCAACAAGCTGAAGTGGATGATAGGTGGCTTTGCTAGTGATGGCCCCTGAATTCCCAAGGGCACAGTGGATGGGTTTCAAGAGCTCGTGTGGGATGGCAGGAGACGGGACAGGAGTTACACAGAGCCTTGTGGGAGATGGGGGCAACCTGTGAGCCTGGGCCGCTTCCTGTAGTGAGTGACAGAAACCAAGGCAAATGGCATAATATTAGATCCAGTGGATTCCAGACAAACAGTGATGGCAAAGTCGGGAGCATAAAAGGGAATAGGAGGGGTGGGTTTTTTACACCACTGAGGATGGGTGGTCACAACCCAGAGGATGTGTGGTACTTACGCCCTGTGCAGGACTCCTTGCGACCCCAAGTGACAGGGGTCAACTTACATTTATAAATTACAAGGAGGACTATCTAATATTATGGAACCTCCTAACTTCTTGTACTAACAGTCTGACCCTACCCAAAATCCAAGAGAAGTTAGTAAATAAAAGAACCCCAAGAATTGTCCTAATTTCATACCCTTGAGAGGCATAAGGCACTGACAGAACAGACATCTTTCTGCTAAAAGACTCAAGAGTGAGGTGGAACACACTGAGCTCTTACAAAATCTTATTTTTAGAGGTTATAGAGGCAGTGGCTGTAATGATTCACTAGGACATTTCCTGATAAAGATCCAACTGGGTGGGTGCCACGGAGTGGACAGAAGAGGATCACAGAAAGAAGGAAGACCCTTTTGGGAAAGAAGGGATTGCTTCCCCACCACGGGCTCCTGCCTGAGCCCTGAAAGCCCTGGGGGAGCAGCAGACAGGTAAACCTACCCATAGCTGCCAACGGTTCTGACTTGTGGGACAATAGCACCAAGTCAGATCCTACTAGGAAACTGTTACTGTTGATGAAATTCTCAGCTCTTGGTCAAGATCTTACTTTCCAGCCAGAGTTCTTTCTAAATTACTCTCATTAATCACTGGGAGAATTGTTCTGAGGCTCACAGTTCCCATAAAGGACCTCGAATTTTAACAGAGACCATCTAATGCTACACATTGTCCACTGCACATCTATTACGGAGGATTAGCTCATGAATCTTAAGAACCCAAAAGATTTTTTGAAAGGAATAAACCTAAAAAAGAACATCGGTTATCACTTATCATGCTGTTTTAAAATGTAATAGTTTTAAGGGGATCATGTCACCAAAAAGAGAGTAAGAGTTAGAAGGAAAGTGGAAAGAAAAACTACCTTGTACCTACTACGGATAATGACCTGGGGCTGCTACAGTGACAAAAAAGATCCTTAGGGGAGGATGGAAAAAAAATTAACTACTGAGCATGTTCCCAAGGAATTAAAGAAGCAGAACAACAAAGAGATCATGTCGGTAAAAGACTCCTTACTGATCACCATAAGGAAAGTAAGAAATACTAGAAGTTTTATAGCACTCCTATCAAATTGGAACTCAAAATAATCTCTTGGCAACATATTCATAGGAAGTCAAGAGTTCAGAAATGAGAGGAACCTTTGAGAGAGAAAAACGAGCACGAGAACTTGTAGCATAAATTTGAGGACCATTCCTTTCTCTTAGCCTTTTCTTAGAACAAGGTACATGCCTCCTTGAACCTTAATGAAGCCGTGGCTGAAGACCTTTGACTGTGGGAGGCAGATGTAAAGCAGTGGATATTTTCTTTAACATCCATTTGTGGAGAAGCCAATAGGTATATGAGAGCTTTCAGAAAGAAATAAAATATAAGGGAGATACAGCTATGTTTAACAAATAACAAGAGTTGCGTTTAGCAAGCAAGAGCGGAAATAATGCAATATTATGAAAACCTAGTGTCCATATAACTTCCTCCTTAAGACTGGCAACTACTGGGCAGAAATCATCTAAGCAGAACTTCCACCAGAACTAGATAAGCATGTCTTATTTCTCCAACTGAGTAAGTGGTACTACAGTTGAATACACTGTAATCAGAACATGGTTCCTCCTCTTCAACTCTAAATATCCAGTATCTCGCTTACTTTTCCTAACCTAATGTTATTCCTTTTTGTACTAAGAGTCAGACAACAATGAAGTCAGTAAAACACTGAAAATCCCAAGAAGAAGTAATTTTTTAAAGGCAGAAGGGTTTATTCCTTGGGGGGAAATGAATGAAAACATAGACGTACCATGGTTGGAGTGAGCAGGGAGCTCTGTCGCGTCAGAGTGTTACAGATGACTGTTAGTTTTGTAAACAGTTAATTACTTATGACTAGAGTTAACAAGAAAAAAAAATCTCTCTAGGAGTTTCTTAAAATGGCTAAGATTTAGGTGTCTGGAAAATGCTCATGACTTAAAAATGTTCAAGAACACCTTCTCTAGTGCTTCCTAATAAAAAGATGGGAAATTAAGACACTTTATTAAGACAATTTAACACTTGAAAGACCAAACTTAAAGTAAAGCTACTTAAAGACTAGAATAAAATAAAGACTAATTACAAATTTCCTTCATCAAAACAGCAGTGATCTAGTGATGATTATTACTACATGAAAATCAATGCTGCCACTAAACTAAACGGACAATTCATACTTATTCTTTTCAGATCAAGATACAGAGCTGCCTGCACAGGCCAGGTGGCTCAGTTGGTTAGAGCATCGTCCCAATACACCAAGGTTGTGGGTTTCATCCCCGGTCAAGGCACGTATGTTTCTCTCCCTCCCTACCTCTCTCTAAAGTCAATCAATAAACATTAACAAAAAAAGATACAGAGGTTTCTAAGAATAATTTAAGAAAAAAAGCCAAAGTTGCGAGGAAGTTAGAACTGTCAACGAATAGGAAATTGTTTCCAGGGCTAAAGTTGAGCGCTGAAGGAGCATTTATAAGTTTGATTACACTGTTAAAAATAACAAAAAATGAGATAAGGTCTTGGGAATATAATGCCAAGGAAAACCACTAAACTGCAGGAAACCCCACTACAATCAATGGGAACACAAACGTACAGGACAAAACAAGGATGGGGGAAAAGAGGCCCAGGCAGTGTACCATCTGCAGTGGTACCAAGAGCCCGGACACAGGATAGGGACTTATGCCAGAGACCAACACAGGGACAGATTCTGTGAACTCACAAACTGGAAAATCATTTGATTTTGATTTTCACTGCCAACTAGTCTTTGCTGATATACTATAGCAGTCTAAGTGGTCATTATCACAGCGTTTTTAACTAAGAGGGCAAAAGTAACTTCCTGAGCTGGACTTTAGTTTGGAAGATGATAGCTCTCTTAGAAAAAAAGGCCACTTTGCCCTGAAAGCTAGGGCAACAAGACAGGCCTGAGCACTGTAACCCTGTACCCCTAGATACCCCATGTAGCTAGTCCACCAAAGGCACCTAGCAATCTGCTAGGCTCCTTATTAGAACAATGTGTGGCCTGGTCCCATTAGATCACTTAAGGGAAAACATAATAATTGTCTTTTAAAATACTTATTTACTGAGCATAGGGTGGGGGGAAATGCTCCAAAGTTGGAGCATTTCATCACGAGGGTCATAATAAACCTCTAAATAAACAAAAAAAGCCAGAAGAAGATGGAAGCAAAAAATTATCACAAAGCATATTAAGGAAGCACAAAACCCAAAGGAATTAGGAAGTGAAGAAAGAAGAGGGCAAGAAAGATCAGCAATTCTAAAATAAAGGTGAACAAGCAAGAATTTATATGAAAAAATGGACTAGAATTCATTATAAGAGAATGGACCAAAAGTCAAGACTCCTGGATCTGATCATATAACCTTGGGCAAGCTACCTAACTACTCAATTCATACATTCTACAGAGTGGAGATAACACACATCCTGCCTGTCCCATATGGCTTCTCTGCAGGTCAACTAGGGTAAAGTTAGGTTGAAGTACTTTGAAAATTATAATCTAAGATAATGGTATTATTACTGAATTTATCCCTCACCTTACAAAAAAAAAAAAAATGTGGTAGCTTAATCTTTTTCTCTGTCAGTTAACATCACAGCTACTGTTCCTCCTGTTCTCTTAAATAAAAGCGAAAACAAAAACAAAAGCAAGCAAAAGAGAAGGCAACCCCCATTGCTAGTTTCAATTTTCTAAAGAGAAATTCCTTTACATTGGTTTTCTCTAATATTCAAGAGACCCAACTAAAAGGCTCTTCTATATTCTTACCTTTTGATGCTGCAGGAGCAAAGGACCGGGAAGGAGAAAGCATCAGATATTGGAAAGAAATAGAAGAAAGAAAACGAATCACATATGGTTTGTTGTTACTGTAGATAGTTGCTCAACCACCTGACCTATTAAAGGCTCTGCCCAACCCTTATCAATTATGTATGTAGGTCTGGAGACAGCACCTTAAAGTCAGTGCCAGAATCGGTTCAAGAGCATCATCAGACTGAGCTCTGTCACCTTAGTCTCATACCCCGACAAGTCTCATATCCCCACAATATACCTACGTGCAAGAAAACTGGGGCGGGGTGGGGGTAAATACCAACCTACATACAAAAGTTCTCTTTCCCAAACCCAGCACCCCCGGAATATAAAAACACCGTATTTTCTTCCAAATTGAAACCCCATCTCTCTTCAATCATCACCCAGGGAAAGGAAAGGAATGGGAAACCCACTTAAAGGACATTCTAAGTCCTATGCTGACCCTTTGTGTGAAAGAGGAAGGGACTCACTCTTGGTCTGGGCAGAGAAGGCATGGGTAAGTTTGGCAAAAAGTTCATTGTTCTCAAAGCGGTCCTCCTTCACCTTTGTCCAGAAGCAGTTCTGGGAAAGGTCCTCAGCGACAAACTGTGGATACAGGCAGGATGTTAATCGTTACCAAGGTGAGCCCTGTACTTTCCATCCTTGAAAACTGATTAAGATGCAAGCGGTGGCTGGCCAGTTATTGGCACTGTCATACCAGAGTTGGAATGACCTGAGATACAGACAATAGCTGTGCTCTTGCTGATGAAATCAGGAGATGATGCTTCCATTTTGTTTACTGATGATTATTCAAGTTACGGGACGAATCCTCCTTCTAACCTCAAATCCACTAGTTTTAGAAGCATTAAGACTTATTTCACATCTTCCCTTGCTCTACAGTACATACTTTCCCATCAACTTGGCTAACTGTACCAAATTCATTCATTTTCTAATCCCTAAACTCTATTTTAACATGGTTTCTGGAAGCAAACGGCTGATGCAGAAACACAGGGGTCTCAAACACATAGGGGGAACAATACTGCGCCATGTAAACATATCCTGTGTAACTCATTTACCGAAGGGTGGAGGTATGGGGAGCTGTATCCAAAAATCCATGACCTGAAATCAGCAAAATCATCCGTACCTTGCAGACTGGTGAAATGACTATCACTAAATTGTGTGCTACCCGGAACTCATATCCTCAAAGGCCAAAACTACCACTAACTTAAGTTTAGGTTTTGTAGCAGCTTGGGCTCAAAGAACTCTCTAAAGTGATGTCTAGCATATAGGAGATGCCTGTATCTGCTGAATATACATATGCGTGAGTGGCACTGAGACAGACAGATGTGAGCCACAAGAACAGGAAGCCCAATCATGTACAAAGTAGGAGAATGAAGTGGTTTCTGAGTAGGTACTGATGAAGAAATGGACAGAAATTCTCACCTTGGACCAGTTTGGCCTCCGGAGCTGTACTTCTGGCTTATAAAGCTTCTTTGGGGTTAATCCATATGGCAGAACTGGGGCTGCAGGAACTCCAAATCCAAAAGGGGGAGGTGGAGGCATACCCATGCCTGGCGGAGGTGGAGGAATGCCAGGGCCTCCAGGAAATGGAGGAGGTGGGGGGATTCCGGAACCACCCGGGAGAGGGGGAGGGGGAGGTGGCAATCCTGGTCCTCCAGGCAAGGGAGGAGGGGGTGGGGGGATGGCAGCACCCCCAGGCAAGGGAGGGGGTGGGGGGATGGCAGCAGTCCCAGGCAAAGGAGGGGGTGGGGGGATGGCAGAACCCCCAGGCAAAGGAGGGGGTGGGGGGATGGCAGAACCCCCAGGCAAAGGGGGGGGTGGGGGGATGGCAGCAGCCCCAGGCAAAGGAGGGGGTGGGGGGATGGCAGCAGCCCCAGGCAAAGGAGGGGGAGGTGGTGGAGGAGGAATGGAATCATCCTCAGGAAGAGGAGGTGAGGGTAGGGTAACAGTGCCAGAGTCACCAGGCAAAGGCGGGGCAGGGGGAACAGCAGCACTGCTCGGGGGGGCTGCAGCAGTAACTGCAGCTGAGAGAGAAGCCATTTCTTTCTTGGCATCTTCCAGCTCCTTGGACAGCTTGGCAACCTAGAAACACAACATCAATGAGAGTATACTTCTCACCGCATCTCAGGGACAATGGGGGCTTGAAGGGACCTAAAAAAATGACTTAATCCCAACCTCTCATTTTATATGTGAAGGATGTGAAAGGAGACAGACACGAAATGATTTGCCTAAAATCAAATAGCTATTTAGTGACAAGACAAAATTAAATTCAGGTCTTCATGTTCTTAGTTCAGCATGCTTTCTATTAAAAAGGCAACTACAATATTCCTATTAAACTCTCCCTTTGATTAGAAAATGAGAAGTTGAAGTAAATCAAATATTCCAGTTATATAATTAACACATGTGCTATACAAGTAATTACCGTGTATAATGCACACTATTTTGTCCGAATTTTTGAGGAAAAATAAGGAAGCACATTATACATGGGTATAATGATTACATACCATGAGTATAATAATACTATGTATATAATGTGCACAAAAACATGGGTGTGCCTTATACACGGCAAAAATACGGTGATCAAATTACTAGATCACAGATCATTCAAATATTTATAACTGCAGAGAGTGTGTGTAAGGATAAATCTGTCCAGAGATGACAAATAGAAAATAAGCAAATATGAGAACAATTTATTTAGTTTCCACTCCTAAATTTATTAGAAAAATATTTTTTTTATTTCTGACTAGTACGGTGACTTATTCTATTCTTTATGTTGTTCCGTATTTTTCAAATATTTCTATCTTGCGTATTACTTATCCCTAACTCAAAGCAAAACAAAGCAGTAAGACATTTTTAAAACACGCACTGTCTAACTAGACTGCCTATTAGTAGCTGAACTCTGGGAGTTAGATGACTCCCGCTCCAAGACAGGCTCACCCTGAGGATGCTGCCAGCAGTCACAGGTCCCTCTGCCTTCCCTGCTCAGACCTTACCTCTCCTGTGAGCTGAGACACCTCTGACTCCAGGTTCTGTTTCTCTGCGGCAATGTGCTGCTTTTCAGAATCCAATGCATCCTTTTCTCCTTGAAGATCCTGGAGCTTCTGCTCAAAGTCACTTTCCATCTTTTTCATTTCCACCTGTAGCTCATGTCGGGCTGTTAACTCTAAGTCCAGCTAAACAAGAAAGGAATCAGGCTCCCAGTAAGCTATCTGGGCAAGAGAGACCGCATTATTCCCTGTGATTTAACTGCTTTGTGCCGATCTTTGATCTATAGAGACCGCTGACCCAGGGAATGCGTGGGAAAAAAGAACACCATGATTTTGACCTGAAAAATCATATAGGAGGGAGAAAAAAGGACTATTTCCATAGTTTACCTATTTTTGGAGGTATAATTAAAAAAAAAAAAAAAAAGGAGATTTTAAAGACATTTAACCAGGACAGCCATGGTATAAAATCCCAAGCATAAAAGAAGTCTTTAACAATCAAAGAAAAAAAGAGAATTCAGACATATTACTGTTCCTCCTCTTCCAGGGATAAAGGCCTGAGATGTCCAGCAAACTTGAGAGCGCTCCTGGGATTACGTGAGTGCCATCTAAGAACTGCTATTATGCGCTGAACGCTTTAAAAATATCTCAGGTGTGTTTCACATGTCAGAAAAATAATAATCCTTAGACAAAGAAAGATATACCAATTTTTTTAAATTTCTCACACGCACCTTTTTTTCCAGCTCTGTAGCTTTGGCTTCAGATTTCTCTACCTTTGTTTTATCCATCATTTGATCTGAAAAGAAGAGTCAGAAAGTAAAGCTCCCAATCTCTTGTTTTCCTCTCACCGCCTAAGTCTTTCAATATAACCACAGGGCAGGGCAGTCTTTGGTCCTTTTGTTTATTTTTTACTGCCCTTCTTAATGTAAAGAAATGGAACTATCAGTTAAGTTCAACATAAAATTTCTGAGTGTCTGTTAAGGCCACCATGCTGGGTGGCATGAAGAATGCTCACAAGTCCTACTTATGAGTCTCTGACACCAGCAAGAGTCCTACCTTATAGCCAAAGTCCCTTCAAAAGTGGGATAGTGTGTGAGAAGGGGTTAAATTTTTAGAATTGTGTAGAAATAAACTAAAGGCCTATATATTCTTAACACAGATGCTGGTTAACAACTAAGAAAGGGCCAAGGTACAAACACCTGGGGACTAGAAAGATAACTTCTCTGAACACTGAAAGATGCAAAATGAAAGGCAGAAGTAATATGTTAAGGAAGCAGGTAGAAAAGCACACTTACCAATCAATCCCTCAATATCAACACTGAGGTGCCGGCACTTGAAGTCAGGATCGGCCCCATTCTTGCGCAAAACTATCTGAGAAATACATTCTTCTATCAACCTATAGTACTGCGGTCTACAAAAGAAATAAAACAAGATTATTAAAGAAAAAAACCACAATATAGTTTTCAGAAGTACTCAGGATCAAGAAAAGGTAACTGCTTTGACAATAGAGGGACCTAAGAACAAGTGTTCGGAAAAAGACCTTTTCATAAAATTAACAGAAGTATTGCTGCCATGCTAAGAAACCCCCTTTTCCACATCAGCTACCCCGTCTACTTCAGATAATCAAAACTTCTTGCCATCTGCCTCCTAGTGCCAATCCTTTCCCATCTAAAAACTCAGGCTGATCCTTCCTGTCATGGATAGTACTGCTGCTAAATCTCTACTTTCAGGCAACCTGAAAGGCTTTAAATTTACCCTCCTTTGCTGTCATCTTTACTCTACCCAATCATACTTCTCCAAAAAATAAAGAGCATTTCACCTTACACACTCTGACCTCTTCCATAGGGATGCCTTCAGTTGGATTACAGGGACCACTGATAACTCCCTTTATATCTACGACTAAAAATGAAACCTAATCCTCACCTTTTCTTTTTCCCTTTACAGACAATCTTTCAACTTAATGGTTTTTGCTCCTTCCACTTAGGCTGAAAGTCAAAACTTCCCACAGGCATACCATCTCACCTGGCTTCATAGTCATTTCGAACCAAGAGTAGGTGCTGCAGAATGGACAGGAAGTGTGTCTCTGCCTTTGAATCCTTCACTGTGTTTAAGAGAATCTGGAAGACTTCGCTGGAGTCAGTGGAGAAGGGGAAGAAGCTAAGGAAAGCTTATACTTAGATACTATGACAGGTGACTTTTCCAACTCTCGGGAAAAGCAGCAAGATGCTCTTCTATTTTAACAGTTGTTCTTCCTGTAAATATTGCTTGAAACTTTAAGCTCTATAAACTTCCTTCAGCAAAGTGACCAGTGAATTGGCTTGAAGGTCAATCAGTAGATAGAAACTAAAAGATAGCGCCTAAAAGTCAGTTGTGGCAGTATCAACGGGTAACCAAACTACTCCTTCAGCCTCTGGGATACATACAAGAGAGGAAATGATAACCCCACTCCCTGACTTGTGTATGTTCTCAAAACCCAATTCTACATCTTAGTGAGCTAAGCTATCATGTTCTAGGAGTTCTAAACTAATTTTGAGGGCTGCTTCCACGCTAAACCACCCTCAGATCACTTATCCTAACTTCCCCGGTCCATGCTGAGGTAAATAACTTCAACAGCAATTAGAAGACACCTGCCTTAACTACCGAGAAGGCACGCAGGCTGATGTCAACTGAGTATCTCCCGTCTTGAACCCAGCTGGTAAAAGGATATTCCATCTCCATTCGAATGTCATCCAGCCGTGCCTTCAGGTCGTAGGAATCTTCATCCCCTTGCTCATCAAACACAGTTAGCTGCACTCTCATGTCCTCATTTTCTATCTTCCGAAGGTCCTGCCCATGACAAAAACAGAAGTCAAGGAACCCAGAAATGTCCTATGCTGGCTAGAAACCCACGCCTCTCAACCTGGTTTTCAAAATCAAAACCAAAATTATCCCTGGGATGACTGGGCTGTAAGAGCAGGAAGGAATCAGCCCAGCCTTTCCACTGAAAGGCTGCATCTTACCTCCAACACTTGATGCAGCCCCAAGCGCATCAGTTCACTTCGGATATGAACTCGGAAGTCAAGCTCTTCAGCTGGTGTGATGAGTGCATTGATCAGCTGTAGGCATCCCACCTAAAATTTAAAAATTCAGCAGCTATGTCAGTGTTAACACCTAGATACCAATCCTCTTTACATGTATTCAGAGGACCCCATATACAATCTGGAAAATGCAGTATAAGACTACGAGCATGATATTCTGCTAGGGCAGTAAGACCTGGTTGGAGCAGGTCTGGAGAGCAGAGAGGTCTAAACAATTTCATGGATTTGATGGTATACTTTTTTCTAGGCCTTGGTTTACTAACTTGTAAATAAATACCATTTATTTTTTCCCATTTCATAATGAGGAACAGTTCTTTCTCTGCCTTCCTGGAGAGAAGGATAACCATTTTCCCTTGCTAACAAATTCTGAAATATAAAATATCTAGTGGGGAATCATTCCATGTGCTCTATTAAAAGGTTAAATGAACTTAAGTCATTCCATGTTGAATTCTACCCTTGGGCCCAGTTTCAGGGGATATACATGCCTTGAGTGCAATGGAGGTCCCACTTTTTAATCCATCCAGCAGTGGCTGAAAACGTTCCACCTCATCCATCTCAGCTCTTTCTGTCATTGCCTCCAAAACCCTTTCATTCCTGCCCAGGAAGAAAAAAGAAAGAATTGCCCAGGTACTCTGACACAGACATGCATAGCAGGTAGATTATGCAGGGACACAGATCAGATAAGAAACAGAACATTATCAGTGTTCCAGGTTTCTCACATGATACTCTTCATCACCTAGAACAGGGGCCAGAATCTGCTGAAATCTAAGAATCATCTCTTCAGAAAAATGTGCCTTAAAACTCATCCCTAGACTCCTATCTACGGATATCAAATGAAGACCCTTTTTCAATGACATACACATTGGTACAACTTTTGGAAGAGCATTTAATAATACCAGTTTTGAATGCAAATAACATTTGGCCTACTCCTAGAAATCTACCGAACATAAATGTATAAATGTGAAAGAATATATGTATAAGCATGTTTATTATGGCATCATATGTAAAAGTTAAAATTCTTATCACCTAGAGCAAGAGCCACATACACTTAAAAAAAAGTCTACCTAAAAGTCTAGCAATGAGAGAACTGTTAATAAATGATGGGATATACATACTATAGAATGCTAAGTAGCCAATAAAGATATCTATCTATAAATGTTCACATAAAACAGGGCCCAAGATCTACTGTTAAATAAAAAGAAACAAACTAAAAAGAATAAGTGGCATGATTTAGCTTTTGTTAAATCCCGCTACAAAAATAAAAATCTATCCTATCCATGTGATTGGTTATATAGGCGTAAGCCATTTTTCCTTAGTTCCCGAATACCACATCTCAGAATCTAGGAACTGCAATATATTCATCTGTTCTAGAAAAAGATCTATGAGACTGTACCAAGCCATTAAGAGTAATTATCTATGCAGAACAGGATTTGCCAAAGGCACAAGTCTGTTAAATTTTGCTTTATATACTTCCGCATTCTTTGCATTTTAAAAACAATGTTACGTTGCTTCTGAATTTTTTTTTTTTTTTAATGGTAAGACTGTTTGCTCCCATCACCTAAAAATCTTTCTTAAATTAAGATTCAGTGTTCACATCCGGGAAAGAATAGTCTTACCTAGTATTTAAGACCAAGTGGCCACCCAAGCAACTCACTTTTCCTCTAGACTAGGGGAGACAGTAAAACAGAGAATGGAGAAGAGAAACAATCCCAGTCACATACATGTCCTCTGGCTGTGGGAGGATACAAAGGGCAGAGAGCAGCTTGGCTGCATCAATCATCATGTTGGGAACAGCAGGATCCATGGCCCTGACCAGCAGCAGGATTCCTTCTTCTGTATCTAACATGGTCTTGATTCCAAACTGGCAGGGCAAGAACAGAGACGGAAGGTTTAACGATGACAGCACCTAACCCATGGCAAGTTTAGGAGTCATTATGGGTTAACTGGTATTTCCCTCCCAAATTCATATGTTGGAGTTTTAACTCCCAGTACCTCAGAATGTGACCTTATTTGGACATAGGGTCATTGTCAAATGTAATTAATTTTAAGGTCATATGAGAGCAGGGTGGGTCCTTTATCCAATGACTGTGTCCTTATAAAAAGGGAAATGTGGACATAGACATGTACACAGGGACAATGCCATGTGAATATGAAAGCAAAGGTTGGGGTGATGCATCTATGAGTCGAGGGATGCCAAAGAGGGCCAGCAAGCCACCACAAGCTAGGAGAGAGGCATGGAACATACTCTCCCTCAGATGCAGAAGGAACCGACCCTGCCAATACCTCGATCTTAGACTTACTGCCTCCAAAAATGTGAGACAGTACATTTCTGTTGTTGAAGACACCCAATTTATAGTATTTCACTGCTGCAGCCCTAGCAAACTAATATAGGGGTAGAATACTTTTCCCAATAGAGCGGAACAGAAATAAGCATAGGAAAATAATTTGCTAGTAGACAGCATAACAGAATTCTATGTCTTCTAAGAGTAGAAATCTTGGATTTTTATGTTTCTTTTTAATGATCCCCCCAACCAAATGGAATAAGTTAATTGTAACAAAATCAAACAGTGAGGAAGATAAATTTGCAGTCAGGAACAAATAATCATGGACTCCCTGGATTTAAATACCAAAAAAAAGAAAAAAAGAAAAAAAAAAAGGAAGGAAGGAAAAAAAAAAGAATAAAAATCCTATAGTATGACTCAGGGAAAAAACCCAAACATAAACCTTTCAAAAACAATAACTGCAAGTCAGGAAATTCAAGAATTAGCAGAAGAAACTAGAAAAAGAGAAAGAAAATTGAGCCTATCTTCTGAAACAGACATTATAACTGCGGGGAAAAGGGTGTACAGAAGCATCTACAGGTGGCAATCAAAAAGTTATAATACTAAAAAGGGAAAGGTAAAAGTCTTGAACCTCATATTCCCAGGTCCTTTTTGGAGTTTGCCAATAGAAGAGAAAGAACAGGGGTCACAATGGGGCTGGAATGAAAATGGGAAAAATATTACCTTGTTATTCATAAAAGCTTTCAAGCAGCGAATGATCTCATGCTGGTTACGGCTATCGTAGCTCCTGCAGGTAGAAGATACAAGCACTTAAGTCTTTTATTCTATACCCCTCTTCCATTTGACTTTTCATTCTTGCAAACAACGGTCTCAGGAATATCCCCAACTAGTAGTTGAGTAAATTCTAGCCCATAGCATTTTGTCCTGAAACACTGGCAAAACCAGGCAGCTGAAGAGGGATCACCACCACCAAAGACCTTTGATTACTCCTCTCAAAGTCCAAGATTTAGTATTACATTAAAATCTTCCCATTCATTCCCTCTAGGCTCCTAAGTGCTAAATTCTATCAGGATAACATTGCATCTACTACTGCTTGCCTCACTACTTCAAAGGTTTGAAGTCTATACATTCAGGAGGTATAAGCCCTGTGTTTTGTTTTGGAAAAATTACAGGAAGTAAAGAAGTTGCTGTGGGTCAGGCTGGCTTCAAGGTCAGCTAAGACAGTCCAAGGTACGCCAAGAATTATTCTAACCCTGAAGATGGTCATAAAGCTAGTTCCAAACTGATGAAGTGTATTATAAGACTTTCAAGTGAGATATAACCCAGATTAGATCCCAGGAGAGCACTGGACTAAATCAGACCCTATTTTCAGACTAGGTAAGAACCTATGCTGAGAGATTCATAATCTTATGTGGTATATACATCCTGTGTTATTCACCATGAAATGTAAGTTCCTCCTCCCTTTCCTGTATCTATAATCATCATTCATCCTCTAGTCACCTCTACGGTAAACTCCACTCTCAGCTAACAGCACGTTCCCCTAGTCACAACTTTACATTTAACTGCTATTTTCTCCTTTAGAGCAAATAGTTGAGTCCCCTACTACCCTCCACCTACAAGATGTCAAAACTTGGAAGTACTTACCCAGGGGTCTCTTCCTTCTCATCATGGAGTCGTTTAAGGATGTCCAACAAGGAGGCCAGGCCCTCAGCACCAAATGTTTGCACCCAGCTGTAAGGAAGAGACAGAGACAATGCAATATTAAATCAAATCAATAACTTCATCTGCACAAAAACAAAGTTTATCCTAGCAACTCCTTACTCCCTATCTAGAACATCCTCATACTTGCCTGACTCCTCTGATCTTCAATCCCCACCAATGAACACAACCCTGGGCTCTCACTCCTGAGACCACCTCAGAATCCTCACCTGACAGGGTTGTTGTTGAGGGAGACACGAAGGGACTCCAGGCAGTTGAGCAGAGCCGTGTCCCGCAAGCCTGACCTCAGCTCCTGAATGTACACCATGGGAGACCGGGAGCTCTCCTTCTGGCTCATGCCCTGGACAGGAGCAGATAGAGAGATTGGTAAATCCTGGACCCCGTCATAAATTGGACTAGTATTAGTCAATAGTTTAAATTGTACCAAGGCAGATACCCATCGCACATACCACCAAACTACATAAGACTCAGAATTTCCCATCTCTCTGTCATATATACTTCGTGAAAATTCAGACAAAAGGTATGTGAGAATGGTAACAAGTGAAAGTACGAAATGAGTAGGCTTATGTAACAGAATGAAACTGAACTGTTGTAGACATAAAATGTTCCAGGACACTGGACAAACAAAACAGGTCCAAAATGAGGGCAGTCTCCCCAGTCACAGGTACCTGCCCCAGAACTCACAGCCTTGGAGGTGTGCAAGTACTGGGACACCATCTCCCTCTTGATAAAAATGTCCTTCTCCCTCAAAGGCTGCTGTTTCTCCTCATTCAGGTTCATATCCACCTAGTAGAGGAAGGAAAAAAGGGAAAAAATAAAATTGCCTTGAATTCTGTACAAATTTTCAGTGTTTAATATTTTGTATACTTAGTGAAGAGTTGAACATGTTAAATTTTATTGAATAAATCAATTTCCCTGATCCTTAGAGATTTAAGCTATTATTGATGATGAAGATTCCTCGGGGACAAATGTGGTTAACATTTTAGTGTAAATCCTTGTGGATATTTTTATACATATATACAACTTTTTCCCTAACAAAAATAGACTCAATACAGATGAAAATTTTATTTTGTATTATTGAGAGAAAAGCACATATGAATTTTGCACTTAGGATGACCTTAACAATCTAATCTCTTCAGACTGAAGTACTGAGTGACTGCCATCATCCCAACACCAGCAAAATCTGTAGCACTCCAGGGCCTACACACCCATTACGCCCATTTCACTCAGTCCCTGCACAAACTCCTTTCCCATGAAGAAAGAACCGGAAACTGTGCTGAAGTCTCTCAACAGACATAACCTGGAGTATGTTACTCGGGGAAAGGGTCTACTTGAGCCTGTTACATGCATAACCATGTGTCTGAGCCTAGCATCTCAGTGAGCACAAGTCTAACCCTAAAAAGCCCAGAATATCATTTGAAATGAGGAAAGCGTAGGAAAAAAATGGATATATTTCTTCTTGGCGTGTTTTGTGTGTATGTGTGCATGTGGTGTGTAGGAATTATTGCCCCCAAATAGCAATATTAATTTGATGTTTTTCTGACTCAATACCTGGTGCTTTTCCCCTCATTTTATAGGTGAATTGAACAAGAAGTTGCAAACTGTTGGGTCTTCTGGTTGAATCACCCAAAGACAAAGTATGTTTTGCTTGGCTAGCTCAACATTTTAAATTTGGGAAACTTCAAATAAAAATGTGGATCTCTAACATCAAGGGATATAATAATCAAATTTCTGACTGTGGGAAGCTCTACAAGTCAAATGTTTTTGTGGGAAAACCTGTAGGTTAAACAAAACTTAAGGAACTATCAGGTACAATGAATCTTACATGCAATTGTGATAGGAATAAAATATTACTTTTTAAAAAGTGACCTAATTTGGGAAATCTGAATGTTGGCTATGATATTTGATGCTATTAAAGAATTACTGTTTTTTCTTTAAATTACAGATTTCTGGCTTCTTTTGAAAAATAGAAACATCTGGCACTACTGGCCTAGTATTCCCAACTGGAATGTTACAGAACCTACTGAAACTAACAAAAACGCCAAACGTCTTTCTTCATTTTACCACAGTCCCCATTTTTATCACCTTCTATCTAGTCTGTTTAATTTATTTATGTTACCTCCCTGGCCCTAAAGACATCTAAATTTGTAATCCAAGGCCAAGGGATTGTCTTGATAGAGCACACCCTTAGACTCTCAATGTACTTGGACTACTGAGAGACAAATTAAAAGCTTCAGTGAAAAATAGTAAAAGTAGTACTGGTTGCGTGTTTACTATGTACCAGGTCCTATCTTAAGGATTTTAAGCCCATGCTTTTAATTAAATTAGGCTTGCACTAGTCTCTATTTGAATCTGCAATCATATATCGAGGCAATATACAGGTCTTAGGAAACCTTACAAGCATGTACTCAAAAGTTTCTAAGACTTCTCACTAATGGACATTCACCGAGTGCCCTCCTCAGTAAGAAGAGCAAAGTAAGCCACATCTATGTATACATCATTATTCAACTGACTTTAGCCACAATGTTTAAAGGTCTCCTAGTAATTATAGATAGCAAGGGAAGACCTCAGGCAAATGATGCCTTTCCATTCCTCAGTTTCTTCTTTGTGAATGTTTCAGCACTTTATCTACTCTGGCTGACTCAAAGTCACTACACTACCACATGAGTTAATCTACTCATGCTATGTCTTTGTGGGTAAAATGATGCTGGGCAGAAGGACATTAACAAAGTAGTCAGTGATCAGACATTCCCAAGCCTAACTCACAGATTGCAATCTTATGTGCTGGTACTTATGCATTTAGTTCTTCATTAATGGGACTGCTATTTGAAGTTCCCTGTTAAGCCTGGAATTCTTTGTGATTATGGGCTAGTTAGGGGGTCTGTACACAAAAAAGGGCCCACCATGCCCATAAATGCATTATCAAAAGAAACAACATTTTGGTGTGGGAAACTTACCAGCATCTGTTCAAAGAGTACTAAAACTTGCTCATCTGAAATATCTTGCAATGAATGTGCTGTGGGATCATCCCCATATAATGCAGAATTTCTATGAGCAGAGTTCGACTTTTCCTTCTCCTTCTTAATTCTCATGCTGGTAAATCTCTCCAGCTGAGAAAGAGAAAAAAGTATTAGCAGCGATCCATTTTCCTATACACAACAAGCCACCATCAAATAGCCAACCCTCTAACCTCTTATACATGCATGATTCCTCTGGTTTGTAGGCAGTCCAAGACTCTTCTGACATGAAAAGAAGAAACTAGTCTTCTTTATATCTAATTTAGTATACTGACTCTTTACTCTCATCTTTATCCAAAAATAAAGACTGGAGTATTAAGATTTGGAACTGCTTTAAAATGAGAAAACTTTGTTTTTGAGCTTCCTTGCTATTTCTGACAGCACAGAACTGAAAGCATCTCATGTGCTGAGCTATCTCAATAAAATGTCCTTTGTTCCCCCCTAGCCATCCACTAAGAAATCTGGCCAGGCCTTCAGAGGATCCCTCTCTTCGAGAGGCAAATATGACTATAGATTATAATAGATATCAGTCATAGACAATAAGTAAGTAAATGCCTTAAAACCAGAAACCATTCCTTTTCTTTTCTTCTGTACATGCCATAGCACTTGTATTATGTAGGCAGCAAAATTCAATACATTTTCTTCAAAATCTCCTTTGCAAAGAATACAATGTACTTCAGGGGTATATATGCCACCTCACTGCCAACAAAATGCCCATGAACCATTCCTCAAAGCTCATAGACAGATTCATATCAAAAAGAGCCACTGATAAGCTTCATCTTATCAGCTCTACCTGTTTGAAAATGATAGTAAATATCTGCTAGCATTATAGAGCTTCAAGTGATTTGAGTAGCATCCAGACTGCAAGTCACCTTGGAGTTTCAAAAAAGTACCTAACCTTAAAACCAATGAATGTGCCAAGGAAATGCATGCAATGAGCCAAACACAGAGCAAAGAGTTAGGAAAAAGCTTTGAGATGATCTGAGAACAAAACCTATACCATCATTACAAGTTTTAGAAGATCAAACTTATAGTAAATAGTAAACATCACAATGTAGAAAATGAGCTAGAACATGCACATGCTGAACGGTATTTCCTTACCTCATCTGCCATGAGCCGCTTCAGAGTCTAGGAAACAGGAAAAAGGAGGGAGAAGGAAGAGATGAGAGATCAGTGCAATGCCAGGAAACCTCCCAAACACCAGATGGGTTGGGGAAAAATAGATGGGAAAATGAGCTGAAAAGATCTAAGTTACTTTCCACAAGCTAAAAGATCTCTGCCAAATTATTCCTCAGCATATTTCTTAAGTCAGGGGTGGGAAGAGTTTTAAGGTCACTAACATATGGTCACTTTGAAGGAAAACAAAAATCTGAAAGGCTGAACCCAATGACCAAGAAACCTATGAAACATGCTCAACTTTACTGGTAAACAAGGAATGCAAGTTAAAACCACAGTGACATATCACTTCGCACTCACCAAGACTGGCAGCAATTTTCATGTCTGTCTAGTTGCAGAGCAGCAGAAGCTCTCACACATTGTTAGTGGTAATGTAAATTGCTATGGCCACTTTGGAAACTTTATCTAGTAAAGTTAATACACCACACCGCAACAGATTGATTTTTATATATCTACCCTGCAGAAACTTGCACATATGGAGCATGATGTGTATAATTAGAATGCTCACAGCAATACTCTACTGTCTAAAACAGAGAACCATTCCAACGGCCATCAAGAATAGAATGGATAAACTGGTATATTGGTACAGTGGAAAGAGATTACACAAAGAAAGTGAATGAACTTACAGCTACTCATAAACATAAAAATGAATGTATTACTTACTTTACATTGAGTTTAAAAACATGTAAAGCTAAATTATATTATTTAGGATATAAAATTATAAACGAAACAATCACCACAAATGTCAAAAACGTGGTTACTTGGGGTGGGTGAAAAAAGTTGTGACTGCAAAAAGAAACAAGAGGGCTTCTGGGATGCTTACAATATTCTATTTCTTGACATGGATGATGGTTGCATGGATGTTTGGTTTATAATTATTCTGCGTGTTTTATGTTCTCTTCTGTATCCACGCTATACTAAGAAAAAAAAAAGTCTGAATGAGCAGATATAGGAAAGCAAGAATTCTCCTTCACTCTAAAACTTAATTTTTAAGCCATATACTTCTTGCTAATGTCCTTAGAAGAGTATAGTGAATACCTCTTAACTAACCTTCCTCCACTTCTGACCCTGACACAAAGCTGTTTCTCTAACCTTTTTATGATCTAGACATTTCTGTATCATTATGTTCATGTTCCTTATGTCAGAGCTCAGTTAAATCCAGTTAAAATGTGACTCTTAAGTTTGCCCTCCATGGTCCAGAGGAGGTCAAGCTTCCGCTGACTGAGTGTTAATCACTTGAAACTATAAGAACAGAAAGCATACGAAATTCCATTGTTCAGCAACAATGGAATTCAAGGTTACGTGGAGTGTGCTGCTTACTGGGTGACGGCAGAGAATGATGAGGGACGGACAGCAACATCCAAGAGACCAACAGTTCCTTTTATCACCACCCTAAGTCTCCTGGCACAGAGAGGTGACAAAAGCCACAAAAAGGATCAGTTGAGTGTGTACAGTTTAGGCTGCCATTGCCATGGTCAAGCTTCTCTGCTCCTAGAGCAATCGCTTCCAGCACCTGTCCTCCGAACACAAAATGTTCCCTCAGAACCAAGCAAAACCTAAACAATTCTTGGATGCCTGTAACATAGGTAACGGAACCTGAACGTAATGGATCAGTGCCAGCTGGACTGTTCACAGCTGCAAAGAAACCAGCAACCTGTTCCTTCTACCTACAGACTATTATTTCTCTTCCGTCCATCCCCACTAGTACTACCCAAGTTCACGCCATTATTATCTCCTGCTTGATTTACTGCAACAACCTCCTAACCGACTTCCCTGCCTGCAGTCCCATCTGCACCACAACAAATCCATTCTCCATACTATATACCCAAGAATAATCTTTCTAAAATGCCAACCAACCCATGTTATTTCCCCATTTAAAACCCTTCAATAGCCCCTCAGTGCCCTCAGGTCAAAATCCAGATTCCTTAGCATGGCATATAACATTTCTGGCTTCTTTCCCTCAACTCACCCCTCAACAAACCCTCCGCTGGGCACTGCTCTGGGCAACCTGACTAGCTGCAGGTTCACACACAAATCGGGCTGCCTCACCACCCCAGACTTCCCCCCGGCTGCTACTTCCCTGAGCCTAGATTGTGCTTTCAGGGCTAAGTTCAAGATGCCCTACAGGACGATACCTCCTCTAATTGGAGATGCACCTCTCCTTGTGTTTCCATAGTAATGGGCACTTGCCTGTCTCACAGCACTGGTACTGGATTGCAATTGTCTTTTGACTGTCTCCCTCCTCTGTCCCTTTCCAGACTCAATTCCTTCAGGGCAGAGCCTGAGACTTAGTCATTATGTTTCCAATGAACAAATACCATAATGGGGGGCTGCTTTCCTAAAATAACAACCCCTGAAGAAGCCCTTAAATCTATTCCTCCTTTCTATTGTATCAATGAAGAAACTGAAGTTCAGACAGGTGGAGTAAATCGTCGCGGTCACATGATTAGGGGCAAGCTGGCCATGGAATTCATCTCCAGATTCCAAAGCCCAAAACCTTTGCATTTCCCAAATTCTTCTGCCTTGTTCCTACTTAATGCCCACTAACCCTTGCCTTTAGATACAAAAGTAAACATGGTTTTATAAGAAAGAAGATAATAGTTTCCTATGGCACATCTTTAAAAACAGATTTAATTCTTAAAAAAATTATCCATGTTTTAGTGCTAAATTTGAGTTGACAGCAAAAAACAATCCATGCAGGATAAAAGCTGCATTTCCTCAACTAGCCCAAGAGAGGGCAGCAATTACCAGCAAAGAGAATCTGAAGAGGCAAAATTGTTTCAGAACCCCGTAGAACACCTGAACAGCAAGCTCAATTCAATTATTGAAATGGAACCTGCTGCTACAGTGTACTGCGGGTGTATTGTTTATTTATTTAATACACTGTTCTTCTTACAGATCATATGTATACTGTGTTTGCAAACAGTAAGTTTTTAAAAACTGTATTATTAAATTACCTGCCTGGTGTGACTCAGTGGATTAGTGCCAGCCTGAGAACCAAAGGGTCGCCAGTTCGATTCCCAGTCGGGGCACATGTCTGGGTTGCAGGCCAGGTCCCCAGTAGGGGAAGTGTGACAGGCAACCACCCATTGATGTTTTTCTCCCTCTCTCTCTCCCTGGCCCTCTCTCTAAAAATAAATAAAATCTTTAAAAATAAAAATTGTATTATTAGTTGTTTTGCAGATTCTCTGAAATACAGAATAAGAGGTTCCTAGGTTATGAAAAATAAAAAGAACTAAAAATAGTGGAGTCCATGAGGATAAATGCTTCTGGGACTGTATTTATGCCTTATGCTTCAGATTTCCAAGCTTTTTCATAAGGCCTCTAGTCATCCCAGCCTACCTCTAAACAGGTCCATTCTCACCACTGACCTGTTCACTGTCAATTCTCTTCAGGCCCCAAACCAGCCCCTTATTCTCCTAGCCCATCTGCACCGAATACTTCATTTTCCTGTCCCTCCTATGGAGTTTTCCACTCAAACTTTTAACTAACATATAGATATTAAAGGATGTATAAAAGCTGAATAAAATTTTTTAGTATCAAAATCTGTTATTTTAGGAAAGCAGCCCCCGATTATGGTATTTGTTCATTGGAGACATAATGACGAAGTCTCAGGTTCTGCCCTGAAGGAACTGAGTCTGGAAAGGGATAGAGGAGGGAGACAGTCAAAATACAGATAAATAGAAACTTCCAGGTAAAAGATGGCAGGCTGAATGAAAACATCTAATTGCTCCCCTTCTTGAAATCCTTCTAAATCTATAGGAAAAGAGCTTTTAGAAAGAAAACAACGATGGCAGGAAGGAGACTACAAGGTTGGGAAGAAGAAGAAAAGTGGAACTGCAACCAACTTTTGAAGTTGGGGATTAAGGGAAGGGCTAGCGGTAAACCCAGCAGACCCAAGAAGATGAGTCCTACACCAGAAATAAGAAAAGTCAATAAACAATCCAAAGTGTACTTAAGGATCCTCAAAAGGCTCATAAATTAGCAGCACCAGGTATCTATGGAAATAGGGGTTGGAGAGAGGTGGGTGAAAAATAAGATTGGTTGAAAGCTGTTTAAGTAGATCTGTAGATCCTCCTGCCCCTGCCCACCACACGCCACTGGGAGACTGTCCTCTCTTACTCCAGCAGAAGTCTGGAAGTTTACTCTCAGAAGAGGTTAAAACAGAGGGTCTCTAGATTGGGGGATACCAGGCACAGTTGGGGGAAGGGATCCTATACAATAAAGAAAAAAAGAGTAAGTTAATCTATGCATACTATATGCTGAGACACCGAGCACCTTCCCCTTTCCAGTTTCTCAAAATCCCAGAGGCAGAAGGTTGAGTCTTCTCTGGGGAACTGAAAAATGACCTAAAGCTACTGTCTCCGTAGATCACCTTAGAGCTCTGCGGTCCAATGTGGCAGCCACGCATAACTATTGAGCACTTCTAATGTGTCTAGTGTGACTGAGGAAGGGATTTCTAATTTTACTTAGTTTTAACAAAATTTAAATTTAAAAGCTAATAATTTACTGTTACTGTTAAACTTAAGTATATTTGGAACAGCTGTGGTATATGAATCCACTTTTCACTTGTAAATTGTATGAAGTCTAAATATACATAAAGTATTTTTTAAGAAAATTTAGCATCCAAGTTGAGGTGTGCTAGAAATGTAAAATAAATACTGGAGTAAAATAACTTAATATAAAAACAGAATGCAAAAACATCTCAGTAATTTTTGTAGTTCCTACATATTGAAGTAATATTTTAGATATTTTGAATTAAATAAATTGTACTATTAAAATTAATCTCACGTTTCTTTTCACCTTTTTCTGTAGCTACTAGAAAATATATGAACACACATGTGATTCACTTTATATTTCTATTGGCCTGGGTTGTCCTACAGTAAAGCACGCAGCCAACAAGCAGTAGCCATCCAGAGCTCCAATCAGTTTCTCAGTCCCTCGTTCTTAAA